AAGTGATTTTCGAGGCCTTCTAAGAATATCGCCACCGAATTTTTTCCGTCGAAATTGACGTTTGGCTTGATAGATGCTCTCATAGTTTGGACCAGGTATCCAAATCCTTCTAACTGGTTGGCCATTTCTTGCTTGTGTTGGAGTTGTACAGGAGCTTCCATCCAATTTTCGGCCATCTGAGTTCGTAAGATGTTCGGGCGCCAATGTATATCGTGAGGCCCCCAACTTGTCAGCAACTGTGGTAGTGACTGCTACTAACTGTGAATTTACACAGAAACGTAAGAAGGGTTTAAAGCCCTTTTTATTCAACTTTTAAAATAACAGCTGCGTGCACTTGACGCTCACAAACTACGCCGACCGGCGGTTTAACAAACAGAACGTAGAAACTAAAAATAAATGACTGGATGAATAAATAGCGAGATCACTATCCACGAGGCTCTGAATCTTAACTAACTAACCTAACCGCGTTCTAAATTACAGCTGAGATTCAGCGAGCTTACTGATTAAGCAGTTGAAGATTAGCAAAACTGCCGAGATAGGCACACAGGCCGAAACGCGCGGTTCTTAAATTTCTACCTAGCAACATTCACGTTCGCGATTCAAGAAGCACACCTACAATCTCGTTTCCCTTCTATTTAAGGGCCCACTTGAACAAGGTCTTCGAATCCCGCGAACGGGCTGGCTGCATGGTCGTTTTCGTGGTTTTCCCCATGTGTAACGTGTATACGAGCCAGTTTTCCTTAGAAAGTCCTCCACGAAGGCATCCATCCATTTAGGCAGATAGCCCTCGTGTGCTTTGCCATAATTGAGTAATCCAATCCAATACCTTCTATTTAAACTCAACTTACTTCCGCTAAATTTGAATATACTGCACGCTCGACTACAACTTACATACTCTAGCATTGGCAATTCTAAGGGAAAGTAAAGGCTAGACAGGAAAGATAACTTAAAATAAATGTTAGTTAAAATAAATATAAACCCTACAAGGAAAACTAACCTAAGCACATGGCCCGCAACGTTCGCCTTTTGGGTGTCTATAATTGTCCACACGTTCCTGAAACACCACCTCATTCACCAGATTATAACCCGATAGAACACATTTGGAGAGAATTAGAGGTTAGAGTACGAAGACACAACATTAAAACAGAAACCGAACTAAAATCAGTAATGATGGAAGACTAGAGGAACGCATTGATGCAGATATTTGTTAAAAAAATGGTTAACTCTATGTCCAGACGTTTGAAAGCTGTCATGAATACTGCAGGATATACTACAAAATACCAGCTGACAGAACTACTAAAATATTTACTAATATATGCAGATTTCTTTAAAGGGTACAACCTTTGTGAGGTAACTTTTCTGTTATTTTTTTATTACTAACTTTCCAAACAAAAGTTTTAATATGTTCTTAAAATAATTAATATAGCTGAACGATGAGAAATTGATAAATATTATTAAAAAATTTAAATTCTAAAATATTAATTTTTATTAATGACTAAAACAATATTTAACTGAAACTTGTAAGTGTACGAACACCTTTGAGAGCCCTTGTACATCATAAATTGGCAAAAATATATTGAAAGATTGTAAACAGGAATTTGCGGAACAAGAGATCTAGATTTCTATTTATTTTCATTATACATTGCTCGACATTGAAAATGCAACACCAAGAGGGAGTAGTCAGAAAGTGATGAAATTTGGAAAAAAAGACAGAGACAGCAAGCAGCAATAAGTGATCTTTATTTCAAAATGATAGTCAGAATACAGAGCAAGAACGGCGTCGGCTCAGTAGGATGTAGGACCACCGCGGACAGCGATGCACGAAGAAACACGTCTAGACTTAGAGTCAATAAGAGTGCGGATGGTGTCCTGAGGGATGGCTCTCCGTTCCCTTTCAGCCATTTGCCACAGTTCGTCGTCTGAACGAGGCAGGGGGCAGAGTCTGCAAACGGCGTCCAATCACATCCCACACATGTTCGATTAGTGATAGGTCAGGAGAGTACGGTGGCCAGTGAAGCATCTGTATACCTTGCAGGGTATGTTGGCAGATGCGAGCACTGTGTGGTCGGGCGTTATCCTGCTGAAAAATTGCATTAGGCAGCACCTGAAGGTAGAGGATTGCCACCGGCCGCAGTACATTATCCAAGTGTCGTTGGGCTGTCATAATGCCCTGAATACGAACTAGAGGTGACCTGGAATCGTAGGCAATAGCGCCCCAGACAATTATGCCACGTTGTCGCGTGGTGGGGCGTTCCACAGTTACTGCCGGATTAGATCTGTCTCCACGTCGACGCCACACACGTATGCGGCGACTGTCACTGGATAAACAGAAGCGTGATTCATCTGAGAACTCGGCGTTTCGCCATTCTGGCAACCACATCGCTCCAGTCCGGCACCATTCTAAACGTTGGCGTCTATGCTGTGGGGTCAATGAAAGTCTTCTTAACGGACGCCGTGAGTGCAGGCCACGTTCAACCAATCGACGGGAAATGGTTCTGGTCGACACGGGAATATCCAGGGTATCTTGCACATGCTGCAGAATCGCGATACAAGTGAATTGTGGGACCGCCACAGCTTGTCGGCGGATGCGTCGATCCACGCGTGCTGACGTCACTGTGGCTGCACCTGCACCTCTCCTTCTTCTCACATTTCCTTGTTCCATCCATGTTCGCCATAGCCGATACACCGTGCTCGCATCCATGTGGGTATCAGCTGCGATTTGACGTAAGGACCAACCCGCCCCTCTCAGTCCGATCCCCATACTCCTCAGTACTCGCTTCGGCAGTACATATACTAAAATTGGAACGATACAGAGAAGATTAACATGGCCCCCATACCCCTCGTAAAATCGTCTATCTGCTGGAAGTGCCTTCGTTGACGGCGGCCTGGCATTCTATCCCATTACATGTATCCTCCGGCACAAAAACCAACTTTCTTCGATAATTCGTCTGGCAGAAATAACGACACGAATATTGCCCATTCTGCACGTTCCTTCCCTTATATCTTACTTCTCGTGCATCGGAGAGCTGCGCACTTCACATCATTCGCATAACTCAGTGATGTGCGTCTACTCTAAAATTTGCATAAATTTCTGACCACTCCTTATTGGTGTTGCATTTTCAATGTCGAGCAGTGTATAATAACGTTTTGCTGTTGCACGCATTTATATAGTTAACACATAAATTATAACGATTCTTCGTAGATTTCACTCTGGTACATAATTTAGGTTATTACAATATCCGAATTTAAACGAAAAAAGTTCATTTATAAGTCAAAGGTTAAGAAGTTAGTTTATTTGAATAGATTTTTAATAACCTACTCCTTCACCCTCTCTGTATTATAAACCTGTATGTAAAAATATGTGGCGAATATTCTACTAGATATTTGTGTGAAAGTGAAGAATTATTTTAGATTACTACGAGTGGTGTTGAAAATTTTTAGCATCTCTCCATGCGTTAATTAAAACTGATAAAGTTGTATTAAGCATTGCAAATGCCTCGCACAACGAACATATTGCATAAGAAATGCAAAACGTATTCCGTATAACAAATATGACCTCGCATTTAAAATCGCACGCGAATATCGTAACACGTCACTAACTCGTTAAACACGGAGCTATTTTTCTTCTGTGTAAAGGCGTTTAAACACAGAAAAATAGGTTTTGCATAAAAAGACATCGAACAGTGGCAAATAAATAACTATAATTCATAACAGAGTATTGGCATAGTAGCATGAAAGAATTGTAAGCCGTTCTTGATAAAACATAAGATAGCCTCGGGAATAACACAAGTAGTCTATGTTCTGCTCTTAGTCATCGATGCGCTAGAAAGACAAAGAAGTTGAGTTACTCACCTTCAGTGAAAGACGGATTTTGATAGTTTTTCAGTTCAGTTTAACAGAAGAAATCTCCCACTAAACTAAAATTAAAATTTATTGACACCATCGATAATGTATGTGAATGTTTTTAGAACGACTAAATTCACAACATTTCCAACATTCTTGACGTTTTTGCACGATTTTATACAAGTATTGAGAACTCGTTAAGATTATCCGCACGAGTTACTGCGGGCATTTTCTATAATTAATACCATCCATTTTTGTTATACAGAGCAACGCTGTATAGCAATAAAAATTATGTAATATTTTTTAATTATTCTTCATTTTTTATAAACAGGCTGTAACTGGAATAGAAGTATATGAAGCTAAACATCAGTGAAATGTGTATTAAAGATCAGTTACCGTATTTGCCGACGTAAAAGACGCAGTTCTTTTCTATGAAAATAGGTTTGAAAAACAGGGTGCGTCTTATATGTCGATACGTCGTTTGTGAATGTGACATGGGATGCTGTGAAACCATAGACAGTGGTTAAATCATTTAAGAAGTGTGGCATTAGTAATGCTCTGGATGATACAGAGGACAATTTTTTATATGAGGATTCAGATGCTGATTTAGAAGAGGTTTCAAGTGACTTTTCATTTAGCTCTGGAGATGAGTGCCTGGGTTTTGACGAAGGGTATTGAAAGGTGTTCTTTCCCAGCTAGGCCGGGTATTTTCAGAAAATATTGATTTGCATTTGTATTACTTTATATTTAAAATACTACAAAGGGGGAACGTCTTATAGGCCGGTGCGTCTTATACGCTGGCAAATACAGTAAATCGAAAAAAGTGCTTATATTTGAAATTATCTGGATATTTACCAGTTTACAAATTATACATACAGTAAATTGATTAAGCTGCCACGAGGGAGAAGAAGAAACAATCAAATTTTATTAATTATTCCGCAGTTCTAGCTTTTGAACTCCTGTGCAAAGTATAAGTAAAGGTTGTTCTATAGAAAAAAAGGGCAAATAGCTGTCGTAGAATTACTCTAATAAAACTGGCAAAGAAAATGTAATTTATGTTATTCCTTTATTGACAGGTTCAAAATTCGTAGTATGAGATCATCCATTTTAAATCATTGTTGGATTTTAAATCAATATAATTTAATTCTTTTTTATAGGTCCGACTGGACAGCCAGGAAGCCCAGGTGCTCCTGGATTCCCTGGTCTTCAAGGAAAGACAGGAGAAAGAGGAGAAATAGGAATAACAGTTATCGGACCACCTGGATTAGATGGGAGACCAGGAGTTGATGGAAGTGCAGGCTTACCAGGAAAAAGAGGAGATCCAGGATTACCAGGTTTAATATTATAGTTTATTTGTTTAGAGTGAATATTATTTTTGCGAGTTAAATAATTTAGTTGTTAAATAAAATTTTTACGTGTTTACAGGGTCCTAGAAATAGTATATGGAGAAAAAGGATATAGTATATGGAGATATCCAGAACACTGTTTAAGAAATTTATTACAATATACTTTAAATGTTTTATTTGCTTTGAGAAATTATGAACAAAATTTAATACAAAAATTTCTAACTGAAATTAGTTCTATTACTAAATTTTTTTCTTTTTAAAAATATAAATATGAATTCTTTTTAAACGTAACAACATACTTTACTTGCGTGCATATATCAGACACCTTTTCTATTAAGTCGAAATATGAGAACGATATTACTTTTGTATCAGATTCTCTGACTATAGTTAGTGAAATGACTACAACAATTGGCTGCCGGAATTCTTGAAATATGATAGAAAAGCACACAACAGTTTCTTTAATAAAAGGCATGGAGAAAACAATCACTTAGGTTTGACGATTCCAGAAATCAGGAGCACAATAGCTTGTCATTGCACGTACTTCGAATAATTCATCGGTGAGGAAGAGTTATATTCAGGTAACAAACTGAATTGAACTACAGCATAATAATATTAATTCTTTTCCATCTTTTTTGTATTTAGATATTATAATTGCAAGAAATAAAAGTTTTGCAAGCAAGGAAAATTTATTCCTTTCTTTTTGAAACAATTGTGGTAATAAAAATTAGGAAGTAAAATGGATTAAGTTTTTGCATATCTAATATAATTATAATAGGAAATGTTAATTATTAATGCTAAATTTTAAAACATGCATTTATTTTACATTAAAATGTTAACAAATTAAACAATTAAAATTTTGAAAAACTTCAAAAAATAATTGCCCCAAAACATGACAACAAAAAATAATTGCCCCATTTCAAGGCAACTGGAGACACTACATTATTTTCGGGGAAGAAGGACTGGTTTGAAGCATGTTTTTATTATTTCAAATATTAACATGTAACCTAAAATTAATTAATTTCTAGTAAAATTACATCTTGCCTTGCTGCAGTTATTAAGCGTAGTTCATTACACTGGCGTAAAAATTAGAGGAACAACTAAAGAATATCTTGTGTTAGTTCCATTAAGTGAAATTACATAATTTAACAGAAATTAAATAAAGGTAGTTGGCTGGTAGCTAAAGGTCAAACTTATCACTGAATTAAACGCAGTTCACCTTTACTACATAAAAATATGCAAGTTTTTACGCCCGTTCATTTGGCAAGTATGGAAAGGCGTGCAACAGGGTGCTTCATATTCTAATTTCAAGTACTATGCGATCAACTGAATAAAAGCTTTGCTTGCTAAATATGGAGTATGTTACAGAGAGAAACGGCGTGCGATTGAGAGAGTGGAAGTAGGATAGACACTGATATAGGTCTGTAAAGACCTAAAAATAGCTCAAAGCGTCGTGTCAAGAATGTGGAAAGTATTTACACTTGTGACGATGTAAAGACACTTGTGATGTTATAGGATTTTAATGCTAATTAACCAGCTAATATGATTTCAAACTTTACGCAACTTCTTTCCGTAGTCCTCATGGCTTGTAGTCCAATGGCTTGACTGTTTAAGAGTTAGAGTTTCGATCAACCTCGCTTGCAGTTCACACCTATCACCAGCTCTGTCAAAGATTATTCCGGCTTTAGCCATTTTATTATCCAACTTTAAATACCTGGTGTTAATTACTTCAGCCATATTAAGTAGACTATTTACTCGCGAGTGGCGGAATTTCATTTTGTAGCACAAGTAGTGCCATCTAATAAATTAAGACGTTACTAAAAAGGTTATTTTAACTTTCAATCTTGCCTTTTTGCTTCAGAGAATTGCAATAACTCGCTTGTCAGTCTTGCAGTGCCTGAAAATCATTAACATCTGTTCAAGCATCTATACAGGCAGAACCTTACAGTGTATGAAAACAACCAGATTAAGATCGCAAACGTGCCAGGACTTTTATTTGCCAAAGACTGATCCTGACATTATCCCGGATTCCAAGAGGGTTCGCTGAAATTATGGAAGTTCGACTACCCTGATATTTCGAGAATGATAAATTGCATAAAAGAGGGTTGTATGCTAGGAAACCCATGATTTGCGTCCCACTAATTCGAGCCATGAAATGGTTGCGCTTGGAATGATGCAAAGATCATTGTGGTTGGAGTACCGCAAACTGGAGGCCAGTTCTCTTTACTGGTGAGTCTTGTTTTGTTTGGAGAATGATTCCGGACGCGTTACAATCTGAAGGAATCAAAGCACAAACAATAAGCCTGAAAACATCCACGGAAACACATTAGTAGAGAGGTGGCGGAATCATGATATGGGTGAGAATCAATTTGAATGGTCACACTGACCTACGCATTTTTACCAGTGCATTTGTGAATTCTGAAATATACAGAAATATTATAGCTATTTCTTTAATTTTTTTCCTTGGTCTTTATTTCAGGTTGTTTGGGAGCGCAGTTAATAATTACCTTCTCGTAATGAACGATCTACCATCGCACTGCGCTAGTGATCGTTTATCTTGGATTTTTTATATTTGTTTCTTTAATTTTTCCTGTCAGTGTATTAATATCCCAAGCTTGAGAGAAAGAATGGTACTCTGAAAATGTGGAAACTCTTGACCTATTTCGCATCATTTCAGTTTTATACTGTTACCATTGTATAATTTTTCAGCTGTTATACTTTTCTTTACTTGCAATATTTTCTTGAATAAATTGTTATCAGATAACTATCTGTCATCAAAAAATTTCTTTATGAAATAAGCTTTCCTATATCGTTTTCATGTGCTACAATATTTTTCAGAATGATCTACGATATTCTACGATACATAGCTCAAAAGCCAGAAATCAGTTAAAAATGTTACAGAATTGAAAGAAACATGATTAGTCATAAATTTATAAAAACCTTGGTTCTCTATACTTTAATATTAGTTTCATGCAAATTCATTGTTTTAGGTTTTCAACTGCTTTGCATTTTTCTAAATACAATAGTTTTATTCAATACTTTTTTAACTCTCCTTCACCAAAACACTTCTTTGAGAAAGTTAAGTTTCCTCTCGAGCTTTCTATCACATAAATGTTTTTAAAGTTATGGATTTAAACTTAATTTAATTACACATCCCTTTTCATAAGTGATTGGCAAATGGAACAGAATATATTTTGAAACACAATTTTAATAGAATCGTAAGAATTCTTTTGCAAATTATTATTTTTGAAGACTACTCGAGTTCCCTGAAACGTAAGCTAATGAACGTATTCTTATTTTGCTCGGACAAAAATATTTTCATGACTACATAGAGCAGCATTAGTAAACTCCATGTCGACTACAAAATCCTCCAATAATAGAGATAAGAATAAGAAAAAAAAAATGCAAACCATATGCGAAAGTGGGGCATTGTACTAGAAAATCTGGGCATTTAATTAAAGCTACCATTTATACAACCATTCATTGGAAACGTCGCATTAATTACTGATGGCGTTGATAAGTGTAAATAAATGTGTAGAGACATTAGGTATATTTTTGGAAGCAGCCAAGATGAAAAATTAACAACGCCTTCGCCGAGAATCAACCGCGGACCTCTGGAATATCGGTTCAGTGTGCAGAACCACTACACCACGAAGGCACGTTAGGAAAGCGGAAGGAATACCTTATAAATGTATACAATTTCAGTTTTATAAATCAAATTATGATAGTTCAATAAATCAATAATAATTTTAATAGTATCTTTTGAAATACTTATTTAAGATCTTACGTACAGTTAAAGCAATGCAAATATTTTGAGAAACCCGTCATTGAATTTTATTGTTTTTTAATAATTGAAAGTTTAAAATCTAAGAAAATAAGGGGCCTGATTAATTTTATCAAATCTTATAATTCTTTATTTTTCTAGGCGAGAAAGGTTATCCAGGCATCGGTGTACCTGGAAGGGGCCCTCCGGGACCACCAGGCAGAGTTGGATTTCCAGGCGAAACAGGAGAGCCAGGAATACCTGGACCAAACGGCTCACCAGGTCCGAAAGGCTTTAAAGGAGATGATTGTGGTTACTGTAGGCCAGGGCTGCCTGGTGTTAGAGGAGAGAAAGGCGATGAAGGGAGGAGAGGTAAAATGAAATTTAAAACAATTCAACACTTGTCAGTGATATTTTTCTGGCGAGTAAAGGGATTTTTCGTTATTCACTAAAAGAAATATTACATATTAAAAAATTAAATTAAAACAACTTATATTAATTTAATTGTAAATTATCAAAATATTAGATCATCTAGTTCCTAGTTCCTCCATGCGTTCGCATAACCAGACTAGCAAATGTATCGGTGAGTCAGTATGGCTTCGATTTATTGCAAAGGTATCCTAGATTAAGCATATTCTATAGGCAGCCATAATATAACCCTATTTGGTGATTTGTCACTGTAGGCCTTTTCGTCAGTCTATATAATGTTAATATAATAGTATTATAGTCGTTCGGTATTTGGGACAGTGAAGTAGTGAAATTACATTCAGTGATAAATGTGATTATCATTTTTACGTAATGTATTTATCATTACATACAGTAAAATTCATCTGAATGTTCACTGAACTTTTATCTGCTATCCTATTGCCATGAATCTGCTTATAATGCTACCAGCGAACATGAATTCATAAAAGGATGTAATTGCATGCACGTCACTTCTCTTAAAGAAACTCCATTTGTTTGCACTAGTATTCCCTGCATACGTATTCAAAGAAAACACATATCAAGCCAATTATAAGAACCACTACCAGTTTGCTCAGTGTCTTGCTGAGAGAATTCAGTCATAGTTTCATGCTGCCACCTTTACATACGAATACGCCCACATGCTCGAAAAAACTCGGAATCCGTCCGACCGGCCCACACGATGGCAGTCATCCACGGTTAAATGATGATTTTCATTGCACATGCCTTGATATCAGCAATATTTGCCGATGCAGTGGAATATACTGCACATTGTCTAATGCTTTTATTAACTTTTATTAACTGTCAACTATTTATTAACAGTGTTAGTAGTTAATGGGATATAATAGTAATTTACGCAATGCGTCATCTTTGAATAATCACTGAGATTTCGAAAGCTAGCGGTCCTGTTTTCATTCCTTACACATCAGCTATACCACAAATCATGCATCAGCTGTATGTCTCTGAAAAACTTAACATGGGTTAATAGTTCATGATACATCTTCTAGATTATATGATGAGATATACTTTTAGAATACTCTAAAATTAAATTAATTATACTGTAGATTCATTATCTATTCTATCTGTAAACAGCGTGACATTTAATGTTATAATTATTTCACGTGTACCGTTTCTTTGTTACAAAATGCCATCTTTTGAGAGATGTATGGAAAGGACTTTTATGTCAATAACTTTTTTTTTGTTGAATCTTCTTTAGAATAGTGAAGAGTATATTTGTAGCTCTGATATTTTTATATCATGAAACTAAAAATTAAACCATAAAATAATTTATACGAATTTCTCATGTATGGTAATCTCACTTTATTTAGGTCAAACAGGTCCTCAAGGATATCCCGGCTACCGAGGACCTCCAGGATTACCAGGATCACCAGGATTACCTGGTGTACCAGGATATAAAGGAGCAGCGGTGAGCATAATGGCTGATGAATAAATTACTTAGCTGTGTCTGACTTAATTATTGAATCAGAATTATATCTCGCATGTTCAAGGTGTTAATTCTTCAGTAACTTCTAAAAAACATTAAAAATGCATCCATTTTGAACACATATTAAATTTTCTTTAGAGAGGGAGTTTCTGCAGCTCATGTTACGGGTGGGTATATGTATGCCGCTCCACAATGACCGTAAGGTGATTAGCATTGGCCTTGCCACTTCTGCGCATGAATTCTGCTATCATCTGAGCCAAATGAAAGAAATGACTCATCATAGAGTACGATACAACTCTAATATAATATTTACATTCAGCAGACGAGATATTATACTTCATAGATATCGACGATAAATGTTTCTGGCGGTGCCCAGAAGTTAATGAAATGGTGCATATATGGTCCAACTTAATGACGGGATGAAATTAATGATGGTCCAACTTAATGATCCTGCCCTTCCCGTTCAAAGCTCTCCATAAAGGTTTAAGTTGCCGTTTTTGCTTTACTGACGATCTATTGTTCCGATTTCGAAATTATCGCGGGTACATAACTTTAGACAGGCAACTCACAAGTTCATCCGAGAGCCCATTTATTGCGAGGTAGGTAGGTATCGAATAAACCTACCTTGTAATAAATACACAGCATAAATGTGTAATACTCGCAATAAATATACATTAATGGTGTGGTGTAAGTCACAATCGATGCAGAAAATAGAATCTTAGACCTCTCGTTGCCCTCGTGATGGTTACGGACGCCTTGTTGGAACCAGGTGTGAGAGCTGCACCTAGCTGTGCCCTCGTTTTCTCCCTCATTTTCGGTGATTGGTAGGACCAATCAGTTCTCTAAAAGCGGTGATGTGTTCTCTGTCAAAACTGCTGACGTGGTTGTTGTACCAACTTCACATAGATCTTAGAGGCTTTGTCACATGCTAATACAAAACACTGTACACCATAAGCAGTTTAAATTAGCATATTGATCATCCAGTGCACCTGCTATGTGGAGGTTGGAACTTAAATAATGACAACTATTTATTTATAGTACCTCTGTGAAATTTCTTACTGTTCTTTGATGTAGTTCCCAAAGTTGCATAAAGTCCGTAGACCCCGACATAAATATCGTAGTATATCTGTAACAATGCCTGATCTATTGGTGGTTCGAATAGAGCAGTCTGTTGCCTTAATCTCTGGAACCTTTTGGAAACGAATATCGCAAAGTGTTCCTTCATCATAGGAATCAAATGATAATCATGACAGCTTAAATCCGGTATGTATTGTGGATAGCAGAGCAGTTTTCAGCCCCATAAAATCAAGTCCAATAAATTAGCTGCAGTTACGTTCAAGCTTCGTCCTGGAAATGACGAAAGAATTCTGCGGAAATTGTCTCCACTTCTTTTGTAACGCTTCTCGCAGGTTAAGGCAGATAGTTCTGGAGCGCTTTACCGTAATCAAGTAAAAGGTTCATTTCCAAAAACGTTCAAGTGTACGTTAGGATGACGTTCTACTTAAAAATTATGGTAACCATCTCTCAGTTGAGAGTTCTAATAAATTTTCGATTTTCGTTATTGTTCGCAATGTTGTTACATTTAGAACTGGCATTTTAGTTTTGGCTTGTGCGATCTGGTGCATATATGGTCCAACTTAATGACGGGATGAAATTAATGATGGCCCAACTTAATGATCTTGCCCTTCCCGTTCATAGCTTTCCATAAAGGTTTAAGCTGCCGTTTTTGCTTTACTGACGATCTATTGTTCCGATTTCGAAATTATCGCGGGTACATAACTTTAGACAGGCAACTCACAAGTTAATCTGAGAGCCCATTTATTGCGAGGTAGGTAGGTATCGAATAAACCTACCTTGTAATAAATACACAGCATAAATGTGTAATACTCGCAATAAATATACATTAATGGTGTGGTGTAAATCTGAAGCACTGGTTATTTTTTCATGGGCAATATATAGCATTGTTGCCATTATTAAAGTTTCAGTCTATGTAAAATATTCTATAACAGTTCTGTAAATGTATGTAGACTAGGGGTTGTTATGCGCTCTTTGTATGCGTTTATTGTCTGCTAATTTTCTGTCATTCAGCTAAGAAATTTAAGTGTTAAATTTCGAAGCTGTCGGCAAATTTTTCAAGTATGCAATTTTTTCCGGGGGGGGGAATGATATTCAATGCATTTTGTCTAATTGTTCATACTTATTTCTTTATTTTGTGTGGCTTGCGTTTCAATTTTTTTCTCATGTACATGTCTTTTTTGGACATGTGTGTGTATTGATTTTCAGTTTATAATCAGTAATAAGCAAATTGTATAATTTCAGTTCTACAGCATGTTTTACACATGCATATTAATTGTGTAATGGCAGTTTAAAATGACAGTCATTAAGGATCTTCTTTAACAGGGCCTTAGAGGTACAGATGGTTTCGATGGAACACCGGGTCTACCAGGCAATCCGGGCGATTTAGTTTTACCTCCTTACACAAAAGGCCAAAAGGGAGTGGAAGGTGACAAAGGTTACCCAGGATTTCCAGGCCCCAGTGGTTTAAATGGTGCTCCTGGAGAAAAGGGTTTTCCTGGATTTCCTGGCAGAAAGGGCGAACAGGTAAATTCAATTTCCATTAATAATTGCGTTTATTTTTTGTAATATTTTTCTAAAATAGTATATCATCATATTAAAATTAATAACTCCTTGAAAATATTCTTGCAATACGAAACCGTTTAATAAAGGAGATAGTGAAAGTAATCCCAGGCAAATTTTACTGAATGTAATTTATGCAGAATATTTTAGACATTAAGTAATTAGATGGCTATATACTAAGCTAATTGGGTCTAAGGTATAGAATCTAGCTTGCGTTGGCTTTTACTTTATATACTGTCAATAATATATAATACAAAAAGTACATATTATCATACAGCTGTACATAAAATACAGCAATATAGTTATTGCTGTACTTTATGTATTGCAATAACTATAGGTGAAGTTATCGCATGAAAGTATGTAACTTCAGAGATATGAAATTAATTAAAACTTTGCAACTCATCGGTAATCGGAATCAAATAACTGGTTTGGCCAGTATCGTCCCTTAACAAATGCTTAACTGTTAACACATTCCAATTTTAAAATCACCTGCTTTATTTTTAATTAGATTGTGTTTATCCACCCCTGTTGGTTTCACAAATTTAAAATGCAAAATAAAATTGTAACTCCTTGCTATGTATAAAGTACAGACTGAGGCGACTTGTCGGAGTGGATAAGTTTTAACTGAAGTAGGCAAAAAATCGACTTTAGCTTGAGGTAGATTTTGAACAAAACTCTAACAATGTCGAGGACGGTCAGATACAGCTCCCTCTTTATCAGAAGCAAAATTTTTTTTACCACAATAGATTTTATATAGAATTTTATCTGCTTCAGAAGATGGAACTGTCTCTGACTATCATCGAAGTTAATTGAGTTTTCAAAAATTCAAAATCTATGCCAAGCTAAGATTCATATTTTCCCTAACTTAAAATTTTAAATTGGCATGCTCCTCTTCGTTTGAAATTTCAGTCGATTTATAAAGCAAGCCTCAGCTTTCAAGACTACAACCCCTGGGTCTGATCTTCTTTTCTAAAACCAACTTAACAAGCGCAGTAAATAACTTTTAACATCCACTTCACAGTTATCACAAGAAAGTTTATTCAGTCAACACTCATGCAGCCGGAAGCTCCAATAATGCTTAATGTTAAGATTAACCTCCTACTTTTAAACTATGCCGTTTGCCTTTAAATATGAAAATCGACAAGTGGAGTATTGTTTCAGCTGTAATTACGCGGCTAATTAACAAGCGACGACTCCAGCACTAGTGCCATTGTTTCAGTCACCCAGAGAGCGCTACAAGTTTTTAAATTTTGTGAAATTAGGACAATTTGTTCAGAAGTTATTAATTTAAAGTCGAATTTATTAGACTTAAGGAATTTTGCCATCTTCGTGTTTACCGTGCAAGCTATAGTGTGTGTGCGTGTCAGTGTAATTAATGCAATTAATTTGATACCTCGGATTACTTACTACTCTTCTTTAACAGATGAAAAACAGAAGAAGTCAAGCTGCTAAGGTAGGCCTTTTGTTTCAGTACCTCTAATTAACAGCTTTTATTAATTACCCTGTTGCCAAATAAATTCAAGCATAGCCTGCCTCAGTGAAATTAAATTGTCCACATTAAGCTACGCATGGCTTCCTGACTCTCATTTATGCCCATTTTAGCATAATTACTAATAGGACATTTGTGTTAATTAATTATATGTATGAACTGATCTCATCTTATTAATTACTGTTTATAATTTGTGTATATTGGTTCCTATACCCTTTGCACACAGGTTATAACAATTCTTCGAATACTATTTCCTGTTCGTTTATATCTCATAATTAATTAATACTGTAATTATTGTTATAAAGTACTACCGAGAAATACCAGCACTGACTGTATAGTTTTCAGTGTCAATTTAGTATTATCTTCAGTACCATCAGTGATTCCTCAGTGTTTTTACAGTGTGTTAGTGTTCTGCCAACGCTTCAGTGCTTTCACAGTGTAAGTTAGTGTTCATAGTATCAGTGAGTATAGCATCAGTGTGTAGAGAGATCAGTGTTTAGTGAAGCATCAGTGTTTAGTGGAATCCCAGAGTCCAAAAGAATTTTTCTGTTTTTATGAGTATACAGAGATACACCCAACGCTCATTTTCCCAATGTTTAAGTGCTTTGTCAGTGAATTTTAGTGTTTTTAGCTTCAGTCTGTAGTGACCAGTGTTTAGCTTCAGCGCTTTAGTGAAGCTTCAGTGTCTAGTGGAATCTCGACGTTCAAGTGAATTTTTGTGTTTTTAAAGAGACTACAGAGAAATACCCAACGTCTGATTTCCCAACGTTTTAGCATTTTACTAGTGAATTCTAGTGTTTGTAGCATCAGTTTATAGTGCTCAGTGTTTAGCATCTGCGTTTTAATGAAGCTTCAATGTCTAGTGGAATCTCGACGTTCAAGTGAATTTTTGTGTTTTTAAAGAGACTACAGAGAAATACCCAACGTCTGATTTCCCAACGTTTTAGCATTTTACTAGTGAATTCTAGTGTTTATAGCATCAGTTTATAGTGCTCAGTGTTTAGCATCTGCGTTTTAGTGAAGCTTCAATGTCTAGTTGAATCTCATAGTTCAAGTGCAATCTTGTGTTTTTAATCAGCATTCAGGGCTTGTAGTGTTCTATCTGTGCAACAGTCCAGTGTCCACGGAACTTCCACCATGAATGACGGAGGCACCTCGATTTGTGCAGCAGTATTAAACCCGCAGAGCCTCTACGACAGTGATTCTCTCAGCTATGCCGAAAAAAATAGATGCCCTAATTAAGGAAGCTATCAGTGTAAGCACTATAGAACGGCGAAATCGGCACTTACTGCCTAAAGATTTGCGAGAGCGCATGCTTGAGATCCTAGAAGTCCTCAGGCATTTGGCCCACAAAGGCCCGAATGAATACCCCCAATTGCCAACCATGGAAGTTGGTACCACTACAGAGTTTAACCCCATAGGGTCCTCACCCTCGCCACAGTACATGGAGCACTTCTTAGGGACGAAGCACACGGACACGCTTACAGATGCCCACAAGCGACTTAATTATGCATATCAGTGCTGTGAAGGCTTGCACGCTAAAGTGACGGGCTCGACAGTGCTTCACGAAAGTGTCATTCAAGGAAGGATTCAGTCTGAGGACACACATCTAGGTGGCACGGCAAAGAGACGCTCATATGCAGAGACACTGCAGCGGAACCTAAGACCGAAAATTAAGGATTTTCCCACGCTCCTTATTTTTCCTACGAAAGACGAACATGCACCAGACCTGCAAATGGAACTGGAAAGGCATGCGCCCTTAATGGATATGGGGGTGTCACTGAAAGGAATACAGAAGCTCAGCAAAGGAGGAGTTGCAGTGCGCTGTCACTCGAAGGAGGATGTGGCAAAGTTACACCATGCCCTGGCACAGAATGTTAACATCAAAGATAAGATCAGCACGAGGATTCCACATAAAAGGTCCCCAAAGTGCGCGATAGATAATATTCCAAATGGTACCCCGGCGGAGGAGGTAGCAGACCTTGTCTCTAGGACCTTTACTATCAGTAAAGATGATTTCAAGGTCTCTTTCAGGATCAGCGATCGGAGGAACAAGGCGGCTAAATGGATTTTAGACTGTTCACCGACAGCCTTTAAAACGTTGATGGATCAAAGAGTTTCGTTCCAGGGATGGAGGGAACATCGTGTGACAGAGTTTACAGGGGCACGCAGATGCTTCATCTGCCAGGACTTCGAACATTCGGCAAGAGACTGTAAATTTAGGTATCATTGTGCATATTGTGGTGGAAACCACGATGTCAAAAAATGCATGGCTGATAGCCCGAGCTGTGTAAACTGTCTAATTGCCAACCAGCACTCGGGGAGAGACTTCGACACTGTGCATGCCGCATATGCCCCTGACTGCCCCTCCTTTCACTTGCAAGTGCTTAAGATCAAGGGCCGGACAGATTACGGTACCTCAGTCACCAATTGAATACCAAGTGTACCTATACTGCATAATGGTGACACCAAAAGCATACTCTCTAATCTGTCTCATTTTCCCTCCATCGTCACCCAACGTTGTAACCTTACAGAATGTCACAACAAAGTAATAGTACCGAAAGACAGGACATTAACTCTCTCCTAGATGCGCAAGAAGAGGTTAAGATCATACAGGTGAACCTCCAGAGAGCTCGGGCAGCTACCGCCCAATTAGTCCACTATGCAATGGAAACAGAGGCTGACCTTCTGCTCATACAAGAACCATACATCCAAGCAGGAAGGGTGGCAGAATTCCCCTTATCCTGGACCATTTTCGAGAACCCGGAAAGAGAAGGGTCAAGAGCTGCCATAGTCTGCTGCCGTAACAAATGGTCACTTACAAGTATCTCACTGTCAAGAGACCAAGTTACCATAGCAATTGATGCAGTGGGACTAAGTCTCCTGATTACGAATACCTACATCCCACCCACAGCGGAAGCCGCAGAATATCTTGACCAGCTGCAGACAACACTCCGAGACTATCCCTCCAGCAACCACCTTTTAGTCGGAGACTTTAACTCCCACTCTGAAGTGTGGGGCTACTCATTTACTGATCCACGTGGTAGACTTGTTGAGGACTTTATAGCGAGTCATGACCTAATTCTACACAACACCCAAGGATGCCTCCCCACTTTCGAGACAACTACTGGACAGGGATGGCCAGATCTCACGCTGTCCACAGTAGAGTTGGCTACAAAAATCCAGAACTGGGAGGTGCAGGATACGCCCACAAACTCAGACCATCGATACATCACTTTCAGTCTCATGCATCCCCATTCCCGATTATCACTTAAACGATATAGAACCTCGGCACATAACTTAAAGAAATTCACCCGAGAAATGAGACTGGTCCTGGAACAGCAAGGAGATGAACTGAACAATTGTTCCACGGCACAAGACGCAGATCGCATCACATGTAACCTGGTGCAGTTAATACAGCAAACATGCGACGGTACGATGAGCATCAAATCTCCCAAAATTCTTAAAGCTGCCA